AAAACAACACACTTCTCCTTTTAAGGAGTCTTTCTGCTGGCTCCGTGAAACTGTCACGGCCTCTCCTGTCTCCTTCTGTCTGCCTACTACATGTGATGTCACTGATAAAGAATTCCCCACTGGTGAGACTACAGGGAGGCTGTGGTTAATAAGTGACAATATCTGACAAGGACTTACTGGCCCCTGTACCGCACAAACACACACATATACACTCAGGTCTGTCTTTCTCTTCAGTCTGTGTCACACAAACACTGACAGAGACATAATATAATGTGATGGTGTGTAATGTCTGGTATTTTATGAGTAGAGCAGCCCCCCCCACACACACATCTTGTGCAACCATAAAGTCACTTGCTAAGCAAAACAAGATAACATTTTTTAACATTTTATGGCTTTGTTATGGTGAACATTTACTGCTCACCTGATGAATTTAAGTTCAGTGTTTACTGTTCTTTTAGCTCTTTAGCTGCTAAATGCTTCACTGTGTTCACCAGCTAGTTGCTTACCTTGTCTGTGTGCCTTTGGTGCTGGATTGGTGCCATTCTATTTTTCAGAGCTCTTTTGCTACTTTTTTTTAAGCTTGGAAATAAAACTGAAGCAGACCATTAAAGCTGTGGGATTTAAAACTACAGTAAATTAATCGGCTAAAAAACACTAAAATGCTTCTTCTCTGCGGGTTTGAAACTAAAAGTGATGGCTTTTATATTGGCACATCATTTGATCCATTGTTAATACAAATATATTATGTAAATAAATCCTTATGTATATGTTTTTTTCATGGACCAGCTTTTTTCACATGCAAGTACATGTTTTGTGTGGCACTGCAAAATGCCACAGGTGTACGTCTCTTACCATAAAACTCCTCCCCAGCCGTCCCTCTCTCACAGACATCTCTGATTCACTTTGATGACATCATTGAAGCGAGGTCAGTGTCCTGTTAGACAGGAGCGGATCAAACCCGCGGTCCACTGCTGTCATACTGGTCTCAGGGCAGCTTAAGCTTGACCACTCTGAGCCACTCTATGTGGCTCAACAGATTAAATGTGTGCCATGCTGCTGGTGATGTCAAATGTTTAGACTTGCACATGACCTATATTACATATCAACAGTTGTCCTTTACTTTTCACATGGACTCCACAGTGTTCTTCAGAATATAGGGCATGGGTCAGTTCACAAACTGAGATGATGTCATTTGTTTTCAGTGTACATGGCAACTCCCCTTTCCAGAATCACCATCCTAATTGTTTTAATAGAGAGTGTTTCTGATGTAAAATGTAGTTCCAGTGAAAACAGTTCACAGCAAGCTGAACTGTTTTCACTGCATGTAGGGGTAAGAGAGAAAAATGGTGGATTTTTATCTTTTTAATTAAACTGTTGCTGAAAATGCTTGTTGGCTGCTAAGGAAGGAAAATCTATCCTGTTTATTCCATCCAGCACATTCCAGAAATTACAAAGGTCACACATCCACTGTCATCTCCCTTGCAGGGCAACATATTTGAAGGTGGAAATGCCCCTCAGCTTCCTCATGAAGGTTTGTGCAATTGGATGTTTTTTGGGGGAAAAAAACTAAAGCAGCTGCTATCATGGCAACTAACTCTGTCAACAGTTCATTAGAAGCTTATTTCTGTCTTCCATGAGGGAAACCCCACTGATGCTCTACTGTCATCATCATGGTGACATGGAGTCGCAACATAAAGGGTGAAAGCACATGCCATAAGATGTTTGATTGGACAAGAAACCAGTAGTGCAGTATGTACCAGATGCTTACTACTTATAGGCAGGTTTTAAATAAGCCTTAAGTCTGTTGATTTTTTTCAGTGTGCTGCTGATGCATACCACAGTCAGCAGAATACATAATATGGGAAACATGAATATCTGATCATTTATTCCAATCCATCAAGTAGATGGCCAGATTTTTTTTAATAAGTGAAAACTTTAACCTTCTAGTGGAGATGCTAATGAAAAGGTCTGGGGAACATCAAAATCAACAGACCATGGATGTCTGAGTAAAATGTTAGGGCAATCCATCCAATAGTTTTTGCTATATTTCAGGTCTGAAGTGATGGACAGACCTATGCTACCTTACCTGGAGCCATGTTGCTAGCGTGACTAAAACTAATACGGTGTATACTTTAAAAATAATATGGTATGCAAATGCTATATACTGTATATTATTATTAGTATGTAGTCTGAAATAGTGAGGGTTTAAACTCTCCTCAGGGGGCTGCTAATTTTATCATTTCTCATCACGCTCCAGTTTCGGCTGTGCCGAGTTGGATGTGTGTTTGTTAGTGATTAGTAAGATGCCAAATATCAACTTTAAACATATTTGGTGTTAGCATAAAAAGAAAAAAGCAGCAAATCTAGTTCTCATCAGTTTTATCATGTGTAAATAATCAGCATTGCACAATGTTTAATTTCTACAGTGTACACAACCTGTAGTGCAGTGTGTGCATCCAGTGTGTGACTAATGGATTTGCTATGTGCTGCCTATTAGGCTTTGATAAGAGATCACTGGTGATGGCTCAGTGTGTGTGTATGTTTGTGAGTGTAGCTAGTGTTTCATCATCTAGAGGTGTGTGTCCCCCAGCCTGTTTAGAGATTTCACTCACTGTGACCCTCCGTGTCTCTGCCCCTGTGCCTCTCAGTCTCTTGGTCTCACAAACAACGTGTGTGTGTGTCCCCATGACATCAACTGTTTGTTTATATACTGTGGTTGTGTCTGGGACACCAGCTTGGTAGAAAAGCAGGGTGGGAGTGTGTGTGTGTGTGTTGTGTGCATGAAGTGAAGAGAGGAGGGAAATTCCAGACATGAAAGAGTGCATTAAAAATGTTCTGTTGAAAGTCAGCGGAACAGACCTCAGGACTGATGAGCTTGTCAACTTTATAGACTCTTCATTGTTGAGGAACTGATGATTGAGTGTATTCCTATTTCTCTGTCTCTCCCTACTCCCTAACCAGAGGAAACTGCTGCATAATGATAACAGATTCAGAGACAATGGGTTCAGCTGGCGTAAATGCACACGCACAGACACACATTGTGCCAGTGAAGCTCAGTGGTCAAGGGTCCTGTCTGTGCTGCTGATAGTCTCCAGACCTTCTGAAATTATTTATCAAATATGGAACCATCCGGACATACCAGCTGCATTTCTGAGCTCTTTTTTTTCACCTAAAATGACCTGTTGGAATAAAGAAGTATCCATCTCCCTCCTTCCCTCCCCCTGCCTGGACCTTGTCTATCCAGTCATAAGGTCAGATTAAGTTTATTTTGAGCCATCTGCAAAACTGTAAAGAGTCCCAAAGCCCTGAGGGTTTCCCTTAAAAGCATTCTGTTGTGTTTTGGGATGGTTTTGGTCCCTTACCTGTGGTGAATAGACTGATGAAGCCAGTGTAAAACCTGGCCTCTCTTTCTGAAAGGTTTGACCTTGACTGGTCACATTACCTACTACTGGTGTTGTTGCTTTCTCTCCTCAGTCATAGTACATAAAAAGCTTTTGTATACATACAGGTCAAAATACATAAAAAGCTTTTGTATACATACAGAAAGGTGATCAATTAAACATAAAGTGTCTCAGTGAGGTGTTGAGCCACCAGTCCAGCTTCAGTGCTCCTACTGGAGGGATGAACACAATTCTTCCAAAATATATTCCCTCATTTGGTGTTTTGATGATCGTGGAGGAGATGCTGTGTAACATATCTGTCCAAAATCTCCCATAGGTGTTCAACTGGGTTGAGATCTGGTCACCCAAGCAGTCCACATGTCGAAGTGTCCTTGGGCAAGACACTGAACCCCCAAGTTTCCCCCGATGGTTAGAGCCATCGGTGTTGGCTGCCTCGGTTCTGTACCGGAAACAAATTCTTTGTGTGTGTAACATGCAAAATAAATAAAGGTGATTATTTACTGAGAGAAATGCTGTCAAGTGGAATTTATTTTTTTACTGCAGTAGATTACATTAGGTGTAGCCTAGCAAGGTGCATAAAATGAGTATCTAGTAGGCTATCTTTAATATGTTACAGCTATGCCTGTAGATCATGCATGAGCTTCTGTGGCTATAAGCACAGCCGTAGTAGTTAAGTTGGACAGGCAAATAACAGCCTGTTGCACTGAGGCAAGGATACAAGGTACCAAGATGAATATGAACCATGATGATGAATAATCTAATAATCTGTGAGGTCCTTCTCTGTTAAAGGCATCAGTTTTTGTGATCTGGGTGTTAGACTGGGTTAGTTATACATGGCGAGATGGCGCCACTGTGTGTCAATTGCCTGAATAGCAGGTGAAGAGAAGCGTTTCATGGAGGTCACATATATCACCACTAGAGGGCGGGCTGCGTTCTTTTCTTTCTCAATTTATGAACTACTTGAAACAAACCGGAAACAGTTTACAGTATTGTACAACGCCCATGGTACAGCATCATCCTTATGGCCGTGTACAAAAGAATAAAATAAAAAAAAAATAAAAAAAAAAGGCTTATGCACTTTTTCCTTGTGAAAATGTCTTTTTGGTCCTAATAAATAATGACTGATAAATCAAACAAGGTAATCATACACAATTTAGCTAAACCAAATAAAAAAACTACTTAACATGAACTATCCAAGTCACTGTTTATTAAATGAAATACTAGAACTTTTAGAGATCTGGACGATTATGATTAAATTGGCTAAACTCACCATTGTGAGGGCCAGTGTAAATAACAAAACAAAACATTTCAGTTAAAGGGGTGAATTTATGGACCAGCTGTAGTGAGGAATTGCGAACATGAGCACAGTTAGTGGGGTTAAAAATATTTTATTGAACAGTTGTAGAAATGTAGCTATGATCAGAAAATCGCAATGCCATTATGAGAGTGTGGGTTTTTTTGCTTGATGTTAGTGATCATGTCTAATAACGTGTTTTGTAAAAAAGAGTAGGAATAGGATGTAGGTTCAGCCTTTACACCTACTGTTTATATTAAGGAGAAGAAGAAGAAGAAGAAGGGGAAGAGGAAGAAGAAGAAAGATAGAAAGAAAGAAGAGCAAATAGCGAAGCGCGAAGAGCTTTATTTTGTAAACCAGTACCGGAAGTCTTTACATTCACTCTGTTTAGCTTGACTCGGCTGCTGTCAACAGAAACGAAACAGTCGACGAGCTGTCACATCGAGATCGTCTGGCTGGATGTCGTCTCAGTTCACAGTTATGCTATCCGGCTCCAGTATTTTGTTAATGAAAATTCATCGCTAGCTAAGCTGCTATTGGTGTACTTCGACAAAGTTGAACAAAGTGGGGATGCTTCCTTAAACGGAGTTTGGTGGTCGCGGGGGGCTGAAGAGGATTATCATCATTTCCTGTCAGTGAATTTGACAGTTCGTAACCGCCTGGTTTGTTGGTTGGCGTGGTGTTTTTGTTCAACTGCGACAGAGCTCACAACATAACGAGGTAAGTTAAGCACACAAAGTGTCGTGTCTAATAACGGTCAGTTAAAGTTAGAAATAAAACCACAGACTTTTATTGTGCGCGGTGTCCAATGTGCATGTGTTCTGCTGGGCGATGCTTTGATTGGTTTAAGGACTTCTGCGTAAAAACAACATTTAATTAACCTAGTTTATGTAGCCTGGAGGACTCTGTTAACCTTAAGCTAGCGTTAAATCTCACGGTTAATTTCAAAACGATTACTGTTATTGTGGGGCTCAAAATACAATTATGTTACATGCTACATCAATTAATTGTGCAGGAATGTTTTTGTATGTTTGCAAAGCTGAATTAGCTAACGTTACTTTAAACCATATCTACTAAGATAGCCTAGAAAGCTAACCAGCTAACTAAAATGTCATGTAGGTTAAGCAAAGTGTTAACGTAAAAATATAGAACAAAGAACTTTTGCAACATACATTCAAGGAACATTACTAAACACGTGTAAAGTGGTATTTTTATTTTATACTGCTCCAATAAGTTGTAACATGTCTCGTTAGGCCTTGTCAGAACACCAGCTGTGTCATTAGGGTTTGGCACTTTATTAGAGACCCCATATCAAAACGTATCCGTTTAATACAAAGGTAATAGAGTAAAATATATAATGCAGGACAACAATAACAAACAGTTTAAATAAAACAGACCATTGGTAGGATTTATTGTGCATTTATGATAAATAGGGTCCTTTCTACCAAATGTTTTGAAGGGATGTAGGCATGGGTTAAAGCAAACATTGCAGAGTGACAACTTTCTGAACACACAGTTATTCCATTAAAACCCTGTTTACAGCATGAAGACACAGCATTGTTGCAACATAAGCATGGCTCATCTTTGGCTTTGTTCCCATCTGTCCTCTCTTCATGGATGTTTCCTGACACTTCCCTCTCTCTCCTCTTGTCCTTGCCCTCTACCCTTTTCTCCCATCCTGTGTTATTGGTCGCAATTTGATCCATCTATTCACACAACTTCTATTTTCACAAGATTGCTGCCATTTTCTGCTTGTTTCTCCATTTACAGCGCCTTGCCAGGTAATCGTGGTCGCTTTTAATAGTTTTATTTGTTTCTAGTGCTTTGTGTAAATATAGCAGCACAGTTTATTGTGCTCATATCATGATTTGAAACAAGTGAAAATACAGGCAACTGTAGTCAAATTATTGAGTTGTAGGTCTTTCTCATTTAAAGACGATCAAGTATGTATGTAAAACTAGAGCTGCAATAATAAATAGATTAGTTAGTTCTATGACAATGAATGTTACTCTCCAGCTGATTATTTTGATAAACAATCATTTCTCTAAGCAGAAAAGTTGACATTTTCTGGCTTTATGCTTTTCTCTGTCATATAAGACAGTAGACTAACTTTTTGTTTGTTTGTTTTTGTTTTTGACTGTTGGTTGGACAAAACGAGACATTTGAAAATGACAAATTCAGAAAAATGGCAGATTAATCCATAATGAAAACAGTTGTTAATTGTAGCCCTAAATTCTCTCCCAAAATAGGAGCTGAAACAAATTGTTTTATCCTGTATGATTTGTGCTAATATATCCATATTTGTTTTGCTACCCGATTCATAGCACTAAAATAAGAATATTGCTGAAATGAATGCCCACCTGAGATTCTTGGGCAGGAGTCCTCAGACAGCCTCGGTACCCAGACACCCAAGGCTCCACAGTGAGCCTTTCTAGTGGCACTTCTGTCCACAGGATCCCAGGCTTGTCCATGTTTCCCACCAATACTCTAGTCTTACTGTAAGTCAGGATACAGCAAGCTGTTAACAGAGTAGAGAGCTGGACAGACAGAGAATGCAGTTCAAGCATCTGGTTTACACTGGTGCAAACAAGCCCTGTTAGGTACTGTAGCTGACTTCAGGTAGTGTTTTCTCTCTGCTTTGCATAGGCTTGGGGTAATTTGTGTGAAGCCAATGTATATGGATGACTCATCTGCTCTCTATGTCTGAGTCATATTTCACTGGCATTGTCATAAAGTTAGCCACAGTGTTTGCCATTTGCCAGTGGGTTTTGTTTTGAAGACTGGCCGTCTGCATTCCTTTCTCTGCCTGCTCCTTCCCACTGGTTTCACTTTTTATTTGCCAATTCAGCCTCTCATTCCTCTTTTTCTCTCCCTCTTTTTCTGCATGTTTCCACTCTCTGGCAAAACTCCCTTGCTGGTTTCTCTCTTGTGAATTGACACAGAAATTTCTCTTACACTTTCCCAATTCATCTTTCCTCTGCTTTGCATTTTTGTCCACCATTCAGTCTTTCACCTTTGTTCTGCCACCTGCCTTTCTCTGTCTTGTTCTCCACAGTCCCATTGGCTTTGTCCCAGACTGGTCTAGCTCATTCTTCCCCTTATTACCTTGTTACTCTTATGCTTACATCACATTTTCTTCTTTGCCTATGTCCTGTGGTTTGCATTTTTACTCTTATCTGATGTTTTATACACCAAAGAAAAAAAGAATAGACTAATTATGATATTTGTTAGCTGCAGCCCTAGCTCACATTATTGTACATATGTGTTTGTGTGTTTCAGTTTTGGCTTGTTTTCCATTTAAACTGCTGTTGAATCACCAGAGTGGGTCCACACTTCATTAAACATTGCACTCTAAAAAGTATTTCATTTTCTGCCACTTTGTATTTGTTTACACAATAAATCATTTCCTGTAAATCCAATAAGGGGGCGTGAGATTCCAAAGGGTGGGCTCAGGCAGCTCGCTGTCGTTGAGGGACAGTTTGATTCTGGAGTTTTGCTTCTGAGTTTTACTTGCTGAGGGCAGAGCAGCGACAGTATCTGACACACGAAGTCAGTGCCATGTCTTAATGTGCTTCTTTACTGCTGTTCTTCATCAAGGTAAAGGCTAATTTTTGCATGGGAATCACTCAAAGTGTGGCTGTATGTCATATGGTTTAAATGTGTTTTGAGCAGTTTGTGCTCCCTGTTCTGGATGAACAGCGCCTTTTGTCTCTTTTGGCATGTGGTTCTGATGGTGGCTCAAACAGGATTCCCTATATGTATTGGGGGATGTCCCCATCTTGCAAAGGTTTGCATATTTATGACGTTCCAGATTGATTACACACAGAGTGACCAAGGCTAAACGTGCTTACTTGGCAACCTCCTTAGTGGAACAAAACCCACTTGAAATTGAAAGGCCTGCAATCCACTCGGAGATAAAAATGGCTGTTTGGAGTATGAATGGGCAATTGTAAGATATGATTTGGTTCAGGTTGATAGGATGATTAGCCAGAAACAAAGAAGGTAATGGGATGCAATCAAATATTTGATTGTCAAGGAACACAGAAGAGGAGAAAGGGCTTTGTGCAGGGGTACCTCTGCTCGACTAAGGAGGGGGTTGGTGTGTTCAGGAGGCGAAGGGTGCTGAGCTAGGCTCAGACTCCATTTAAAGTGGAATGGAGGATTTGAAGGACTTACAGTACAAACCGCTAAAGCCTCTTGATGTGCTGTGAAAAAAAGGAAAATCTACTGCGATCGTGACAAAGCGAGGCATTTGTTTGAATTTGTTTGCCCAGTTACATATAGACGCTGCTGTTGCTGTGGAGTCAAAATATTTGTTGTTGTTGCTGTTTGTTGGTTTTGTGTTGATGATCGAATCGGCACAATGCATGTCGTATTTAAAAAAACAAAACAAACAAACAAAAAACCAGTTTTTAAGATGTGAGATTTGTGTCCCAGTTCACCACATCCTTATTTTAAATCATACTTTAACCACATTTATTAAGGAAAATGAAAGAGTCCAATCTGTATCAGTCATCTCTCTTTGCCTGTATAGAAAGTCTCACAGGGTGTGGATGTCAGAGGCTGATGTGCAGATTGAAAATGAAAGAACCAATTTGCATTAAGAATCTGGTGGTTGGACAAGAGAGTGAGAGACAGTAAGGATGCACATTCCGCTGTAACTTCACACTGTTATCACTGTTCCAGTGTAGAACCTCGGTGTTGTAATATGCAGCTTCTTCACTCAAGTGTTTTGAATAATGATGATGTTGGCAGCTGCTGCAGAAAAAGCAGTTTGTTTGGCTGTGTGTTGTCCTTCTTTGCTGTAAACAGAGGCTTGTCTGCTGGCAGCAGCACCCGCAGCAATAGACTGCTGTTGGGCATCGTCATAAAGACAGATGATTGTTCTCAACATTGACGCCGTTTGGTGGTGATCTGATCTCAGAGCACAGAACATGTGGGTGAAGGTAAAACTGGCAGAAATGTGGACAAATTATGTTCATCACGTGTGCTAGGGAAGACCAGATTGGATTAAAAGCTAGTAGTTAAATTTGAGTAAATTAAGCCTTGCCAGCCTTTTCTGGAGTAGAAGTTCTTGTGTGCGTCTGTATGAGCATGCTTTCAGACTGACTTCCTGTCTCCGTCTGTTGGGTACAACCAACCACAGCTTCCCTTCCTGTCATCTCTTGCCGCCTTTTTCAGTAGCATGACTTAGTTACTTCTCTGCTTCAGTCCCAAGCCAATGATATCAGGTTAATTCAGACTTTAACTTGGTTAGTTCTTCTGAGACCACACATCTTTAAACAGATCAGGCTCAGTAGGATGCACAACATGTCATAAAGCTATAAGATGGAATTTACAAAGCACATTTCAAACTTTAGTGGATTTTCTGATGGTGTGGAATCAAATAAATTGAGCCTCAAACAGAGTTGGTTATAGATGGGATTCACTCTGTGCAGCGAGAAGCCGTTTGTCTACTAACATAGAATTAAATGGCCAGTTTGTCTCGTTACTCTTGTTGTTTTATTGCATAAGTGTAGAACAGAAGCAGAAATGTTAAAATATTGTGTCCATTGCGTGAGTTCATGATATGCACACTAACCAGTCAACATATCAGGATGTGCTTCAGATCACTGCAAATGGTCACCTCTTTCCTCCATATGGAAGTCGGAAAAGCTGAGAACTGAGAGAGTTATGTCTGGAGCTGGTTTTAGATTTAACCAGTTCTTTTGTCTGAAGGCCCCAAGAAGTAACACTCAGGAAACAGGAATCAGCTTTACGTAGATTTATTTTCTTCTGGTTAAATGCAGAGTTATTACAGCGCTGGGCTTTAAGAGACGACAAGTCTCCAAGAGCCTCGATAATCACAAATCAGTCACATTTATCTTCTCGGGCTGGGACTGCCCTGTACATGGGTGGAACGTTACACATCAATATTCTAGAATGTTCATATAGGTTTTGTGTGTGTGTGTGTGTGTGTGTGTGTGTGTGTGTGTGTTGTTATCTTCTATTTTCAGGTGTTTCTCTCTAACTGAAAGTGGACATGCAGTTAGCTGTGTCACTTACTTCCCTGATTCTGTTGTTCTGTAAAACCCCTTACTCATGCTTCAGACATGGGTGACCAGTTCAAGCCCGTCAGACTTCACGTCTGTAAGATGGCATAAATTAACAATATCTTATCTTTAGTTTCCAGAACGACACTTATCTATGCAATCTATTCTTGCACAATTATCCAAGAAGATGAGAAATACTACAAGTTGACTCGAAGCTGACAATTATAACTATAGTGCATGTATGAGAGCCAGGTTAATACTGATACATGGTGCTGTTAATAAAACACAGTCATACTAAACTTTATCATTATAAAAGCAAAATAATACTAACAGTAAATAAAACAACTGCAACTCCTGAAATCCAATCCTAACACTGGTCATATGAACTAATCACTGACCGCCAGGACAGACAGTTGACTTGGATTCAGATGAATCGATGCATTAACCTCCTGCTTACAGCACTTTTGAAACAGTAATATAAACATAGATTGGAGTGAAAATCCACAGCATAATGAAGTTATTTTGTAAATGCTGACATAGTGATACATTTCCTGCTACTAATCATGTCGGATGTGTTTTTCTCCAATTAAAAAAACATAAACAAAAAGGGGTAAACAGGTTCCATTACTTACCAGAGGAGGTAGCTCTATGAGTAGTTAAGCTTGTGAGCTGTGGTTTATGCTAATTATCTGCACAGGAAGAAGACAGTGACCAATGAGACTGATTCTGTTACATAAACCTTGTGATGGCAGTGGCCTTTTGTTTTGAAGGTTAACCCAGCAGATACTTTCTAACAGTCACCTCAGATAAAGCAGGTGTAACCGGGTATGAAATTCAGGATTGTTTGTATCCTGCCTTGCCGGAGAAGAACACGTGTTGAATAACAAAAATAAGCGTTGGTTGTAGTCCTGGCCTCGGCTAACATCAGAAGAAATTATTATAGTTGTACAAAATATAAAATTCTGCTTGCCACGTCCTAATTCTCTACTGGAAAACCTTTAGTTTTTAAGATGAGCATATTTTAAGGTTTGTCTGTGAATTTTACACAAAACAGTTAATGATCACCATATGGGAGCCTTCCTAGTTAGTGGTGGGGGGGTTGGGTTTCCATTGGGAAGCTGACAGATGAAGTTGCTGGAAGTTAAACTGATTGCTTTTGTTTGTTTGTTTGCTTTTTTTAATTCTATGTGATACATTTAGTCGGTAATTGGTGGAAAAAGACATTTTTATTAATATGCATTTAATGTTAACACGAATACACAATGCATCAGTGTTCCCTGTAGACTCCATAAAGTGCAAAGCATGTCGTGTATCTTGTACCTGCTGCCAGCTGATCATTGGCATGTTACAATTTAGGATGGATAAAATGTTGATAGACTAGGTCTTATTATTTTATGTCTGTCTTTCAGGCATGGCTCGTAGGAGTTCTCGTCTGATGTCCGGGGGCTACTACAATTCAGATGAAGAATCTGACTCCAGTAGTGTGACAAACATATCCTACCGTGAAAACCCTGTCAAGTAAGTAACTCAGTGTGTGAGTGTGTTTACGCCAGGGATGTACCGATCCGATACTCAGCATCGGTATCGGCCGATACTGTGCAAAATTATTTGGATCGGATATCGGATAAAAGAATTTAATCCGTCCGATCCGATACCATGTAGCAACGTTTAGCTAAACTTAAACGGACATATCGTAAAGCAAGTGAGCAGACCGCAGTATGTGTCACGTGAAGTGTAGGTAATGCATCATGGGTAGCACATGCTAGGCTAGTTTCAGAAGTTAGTGCCGCTATGTGGATAAGGTCAGCCGTGTGGACGTACTTTAGGCTTCCGGATGAGGGAAGCAAAACAGCCGAGTGCAACCTGTGCAACGCGAGTGTTTCCAGGGGTGGAAGTACCAAATCCAACTTCAACACTTCAAACCTGATTAAACATTTGCGTAAGCACCACGCACAGGAGTACGAAGAATATATACAGACAAC